TACCCGCCAGGTGTCAGTCTGATCTCTCCTTTATGAGGTGGCTCTTTGGATATACAGGGGTCAGGGAGCTGCTTGAGGAGATGGTCTCTTCTTTATAGGAGCTCAAATGCTGAGCTGTGAGCTCCGTTGTTCATTCAGAGCTGCCGGGCACGTATGTTTAGGTCTGCTGCAGCAGAACTCATAAACCGCTTTTTGTTCCCAGGTGCTCTGTCCCAGGGATTTAGGGCTTTATTTATGAGTTTCTGTTATGCTGTTGCCTTCTTTTTTTCCTTCAGAGCTGCCCTGCCCAGCAAGGAGGCAGCCTAGTCACTGTCTGCCTGTAGAGGCTTTGCTGAGCTGCTGTGGGCTCCGCCCAGCTGCCGAGTGAACTTCCCTGCAGTCCTGTTTATATGGGTGTAGTTAGAACTGCCTCGGCAAGGGTGGCCCACCTCTTTTAAGGCGGAGTCTCCCTGTAGTGGCCAGTTGCCTTGGCAGCGGCGGGCTGCCTCAGCAACAGTGGGCTGCCTCAGCATTGGCTGACTACCTCCCTAGTGGCGGGCTGCCTCAGTAATGGCGGACGCCCCTCCCCCACAGAGGTGGACCATAGCGGGTTCAGCTGCACTTGCTGTGAAACTCTCAATCCAGAGAGTTTCTGATTGCTGTTCTTTTGTGGGGGTGGGACCAGCCGAGCCTGATCGCCTGGCTCCCTGCCTCAGAGCCTTTTTTTTTTAATTTTAAAATTGGTGTTCCAGTCGCCTGTTGAGTCGCCGGGGTCTATTTGTTTTCCCGTGTCGTGACTCACTGCGCTGGCTTAAACAGCTGCACTGAGATTTGTAGCACTTTTTGTTTTTGCCCTGGAATCTACTGTCCTGGTTCTCTGCTCAGTCCCCTTTTTAAAAAGAGGAATGGGCGACTTCCCGTGGCTCCAATCGCCAGCCAAAAGGGCACCCGGACTGGTGTATTTTGTACAGAGAACTGCTGCTCCAGGGCGCCGACAAAGCAGCCGCGTGGGTCAAAGCAGCGGCGCTGGCCAGCACAGCCACGCTGGCCGAAACAGCCGCGCTGGCGACCCGTGGAGCTCCTCCGCCTGGGAATTGCCTAGTCTGTGGGCAATGAAAATGCAGCCTCCACTCACCCTCTGTGCTTTCACTGGGAGCTGCAATCCTGAGCTGTTCCTAAATGGCCATCTTGGGTTGTCCTATCGTGCTTGTTCGAATTCTAACACTCTAAACCAAATTTCTCAGAAGTAGATTTATAAAGGAAGCAATAAATGATGTAATGAACAATGCCTCAACAACATTCCTATGATATAGCCTATAATTTTATTTGGCAAGTATTTATGGAGTACTTCCTACAAGCCAGGCACCGTGCTCACCACTGGGGATAAAATAGTGAATGTGGATGTTTCTTATCTAATATCGTTATTAAAACCCAAGTTTTTGCATAATATTAAATGCAATCCTCTGAAGCCAATTTGGCTGGGAAAGGGCTTATATCCCCAAACCAGGGTCAAAATAACAGCCATTCGGTGTTCCCCTGCTTCCTCCAACCACCCTAACCATCCCCATCCACGTGGTCCTGCCCTGGGTCAGGACTTCCTGCCCTGCCCCTCTTTTTAAGACGGAATCTCACTCTGTCGCCCAGGCTGGGGTGCAGTGGTATAATTTCAACTCACTGCAACCTTTGCCCCTTGGGTTCGAGTGATTCTCCTGCCTCAGCCTCTCAAGTAGCTGGGATTACAGATGTGTGCCACCACACCCAGCTAATTTTTGTATTTTTGGTAGAGACAGGGTTTCGCCATGTTGCCCAGGCTGGTTTCAAACTCCTGGCCTCAGGTGATCTGTTGGCCTCAGCCTCCCAAAGTGCTGGGATTTCGGGTGCGAGCCATTGTACCCAGCCCAGCCTCTTTTAAATTGCAGCTCACTACCACTACTATCACACACAAAATATGCCTGGACTCCCCATGGTTTGTCTCACATGTGTTCAACAGTGCTTTTAACCACCACATGAAATCTGCCATTTTCCACCCTCACTTACTCTGGTTTATTCCGGAGATCTGCTGCTGAGTCGTTCCCCACACTCCCCACACTCCCCTTCCAACACAACACGTGAGCCTCAACAGGACCACTGCTGTATTAGTCCATTTCCATACTGCTATAAAGATAGTATAATTTATAAACAAAAGAGTAAATTTACTCACAGTTCCGCACGGCTGGGGAGCAGGGAGGCCTCAGGGAACTTACAATCATGGTGGATGGGGAAGCAGGCACCTTTTTCACAAGGTGACAGAAGAGAGAGAAGAAGGAGGAATTTCCAAACATTTATAAAACCATCAGATCTCATGTGAACTCATTTGCAGTCATGAAAACAGTAGGGGGAAACTGCCCCCATGATTCAATCACCTCCTTCCCTTGACACACGGGGATTACAGGTCCCTCTCTCAACATGTGGGGATTGTAATTCCAGATGAAATCTGGGTAAGTGCACACAGCCAAACCATATCCACTGCTGTTGTTCATGCAGGCTAAAGGTATTGCTTATGCTGACTGCCAAGTCTGTGCTGAGGCTGCCAGAGTGGAGGATGGGGACTCAGGTTGCTTCGTCCATGACTGCAGAAGGTATTGGCACCCAGATGCCAATATTACATTGCCCTGAAGCTGCTCTGATGGACTAAAACTACCAAGGCTGCTGGAGGGCCCTCTGACACTACAACTGTACCATGTTTTTGCTGAGCGTTCGAGAACAGTTCTCAACCATTGGAGTTACATTTCATTACGGTTTCCAAAGCAGTGCTGTCTGGTTCTCCTGATGCCCTATCGAGACTAAAGTAAAACAGTGTCTTGGGCTGCTTGGGCTGCCATTACAAAATACTATAGGCTGCATGCCAAAAACAACAGAAATGTATTTGCTGACATTACTGGAAGCTAGAAGTCCAAGGTCAGGGTGCCAGCATTGTCAGGATCTGGTGAGGCTCCTGATTCACAGATAAGCTGCCCGTCTTCTCACTGTGTGCTCACATGGCCTTTCCTCGGTGTGTGGGTGTGGAGAGGGAGATCCTTCTTTCTATTCTTATAAAGCCACCAATCCTACTGGATTAGGACCTCACACTTATGTCTTGACTTAACCACAATTGTTACTGGAAAGGGGTCCAGATCCAGACTCCAAGAGAGGGTTCTTGGACCTCAGGCAAGAAAGAATTCTAGGTGAGTCCACAGAATAAAGTGAAGTTTATTAAAGAGAGAGAAAAACAAAAGAATGGCTACTCCATAGACAGAGTAGGGGCATGGGCTGCTTGACTGAATATATTTATGGTTATTTCTTAATTATATGCCTAACAAGGGGTGGCTTATTCATGAATTTTCTGGGAAAGGACTGGGACTTCCTGGAACTGGAACTGAGGGTTCCTCCCCACTTTAGACCATATAGGGTAACTGCTGACCATGTCATTCATAAACTGTTATGGTGCCGATGGGAGTGTCCTTTGGCATGCTAATGCATTGCAATTAACATACTATTAGCAGTGAGCTTGACCACAGGTCACTTTCATAAAATCTTGCATTTGGTGGGTTTTCGTCAGCTTCTTTATCATATCCTGTTTTATCGGCAGGGACCGGTATTTTGTGATACCAGTCCTGCTGACCTCCCATCTCATCCTGTGACTGAGAATGCCTAGCCTCCTGGGAATGCAGCCCAGTAGGTCTCAGCCTCATTTTACCCAGCCCCTATTCAAGATGGAGTCACTCTGGTTCAAATGCCTCTGACGGAATCACCTTCTAAAAGTCCTATATCTAAATACAGTCATTTAGTGGGTATGAATTTGGGGGAGACACACCTGAGTCCACAGCAAATAGTATTCAATTTTTAATCACATCAGGGCACACAATAAGACTCTGAAAAGTGAGTCCATTGGCTGGGCTAGGGAGAAAATTGTGGCAATATGTAGTGTTCCAAAATGACCCTCCCTGCACCAGGGAGCACTCAGAACCTTCCAGCTTGGTGAACAGAATTTGCTCTCAGGCTAGGAGCCATGCTCTATAAGTATGTTGTCTTTACATCTGGGCCAGCTTGATCCAAGGATAGGATTTAGAATGATTAAAGGAATAGTTAGACAGTATACATGGACGCTCCTCACAAATGTGTCTCCTCTCAATTTGGCCTTCACGTTGAAGTAGACACATAATGGGTTCCAGATTGTGACCTGTTGCAAAGATCTCGGAACACAGGCTTGGGATACCTGTATATTCAACAGAAATCAGTCTAGCAGGTGGTAAGGCTGACATTTTTCTGTGTTCTTAAGTTCTTAGTGACTGGGACAACACCCACAGGCAAGGCCTGGCTTTTTCCACAAGAAATATTCTGGATGTAAGTAAACACAGCAGTGAGCTTAAAATTCTACATGATTACAACGACTTAAGCTTGAGAATTGTTTTAAAACAGAGAAGGAGAGCCGGGCGTGGTGGCTCACGCCTGTAATCCCTGCATTTTGGGAGGCTGAGGCGGGCGGATCACCTGAGGTCAGGAGTTCGAGACCAGCCTGACCAATATGGTGAAACCCCGTCTATAAAATAAAAAATAAGTAAATAAATAAAAACAGAGAAGGGAGTAGTAAATGGCTAAATATAAAGTACCTAGTGCTGTGTTTCGCAAATGGTAATCACTCGGCAGGTGTTTCAGCTCCTAGCTTCAGCAAGCAGGCTTCCGGGACTTGAAAGAAGTCTACATTCAAAACTATTTCCCTTCACCACCCAATTCTACTCCTGTGCTCGCATTTCTCCCTACCCTTGCCTGGCAAACTCTATGGCCTCACTGATTCACTCCCACTCCACCTTCTGAGCAGGCACTTCCGTGGGCCGCCCACGCCTGGAAACCGGCGGGCTGGCGGGAGGGGCGAGGCCTGCAGCCTAGCGGGGCGGGTACAAGCCACTGCTTCGGAGCCCCGGTGCGGCGCAGCCTTGTGGGAACTGTAGTTCTCGCAACTCTGAGTCTCCAGGCGAGGCATCACCGCAGGACTCGTTTTCCCGTGCTCCTGTGCGCGGGTCCACTTGGGACAGGTCCCTGGGTAGGTAAGGAGGTGGGTAGGAGCTTGCTTATAGAAAAGTGGAATCGAGCCGTCTGTGTTAGCGGAGCCGCCGCCGCGAGGAACTCGGGGCGGGCTCCGGCCTGTTCAAGAGTGCTGGAGGATAAACTTGAAATACAAGTTTAAGGTTCCTCATTGGGCGAAAGATAAGATTCAGATCTCCCCCGGCCCGGTGTGCAGCAGGAGCGACCAACCCCGACCCGGGTGAAAGCAGGGACCCTTCGCTGCCGCCACCTCCTGTTCTCTCCCCACGTTCCCACTCGGGGTCTCCCTCAGGGCTGGGAGTCACGGTAGTCCCGGCCTGTCGAAGGGCCGGATGTACGCACCCGCAGGTTCCCGCTGAGCCCCGGCGCCTGCGGAGGTCTTGCGTTCGCCTCCTGCAGCCTCAACTCGGGAGGGCGGCGCGGGGCGAGCTGCCGCCATGATCACCGGTGTCTTCAGCGTGCGCGTGTGGACCCCGGTGGGCGTCCTGGCCTCGCTGGCCTACTGCCTGCACCAGCGGCGGGTGGCCCTGGCCGAGCTGCAGGGGGCCGACGGCCAGCGTCCCGTCGACCGCAGCCTGCTGAAGCTGAAAATGGTGCAGGTCGTGTTTCGACACGGGGCGCGGAGTCCTCTCAAGCCGCTCCCGCTGGAGGAGCAGGTGAGAGGTCGGCCATGGCCGGGGCTGGCGGGGCGAGGACTGTGTCCCGGTCAGGCGTTTCGCCCGAACACACATCTTCAGAGCTTTACTCGCGCGGAGTGGGACAAGGGTTGGGTCCAGACGAAGGGAAAACAGCAGTAGCCAGTGCCTCCCCCGGCCCTGGGGCAAAGGACCTGCGGGGGGTAGGACAGCCCGGAACTTCCAGCTTTGCCCTGATGGCGCAGCCGGTAGTAAGCGCTTCTTAAGGCGCATGGGAGCCGCCTGGGGATCTTGTTACGTTGCAGATTCTGATTCAGGAGGTGTGGAGTTAGTGCCTGAGGTCAGCATTTCTGTTAAGTGGGTGAACTTTAGTACCACGGTGCAATGCGCTTCTGTGTGACCATTTTGAAGGTGGTTTCTCAGAGCTGAAGGGACTTTAGTGACAGGAACCACTCTTAACTGAGATCACAGTGGTTAGGAGATCGATGCTTTTGGAAGCAAACTTTAAAACAGGTCTTTCTCAGGGTTTGCTCGAGGCCATTTGAGATCTCCTGAAGTTTTTTTTGTGTGTATGTGAGAAATGTTGAATTCTCAAGGGTTCTCCTTTTCTATTTGACGTTACTAATCCTATAGTGGAAGGGATTTGAGGGCGGAAAAAGTTAAAAATGGTCTAGTTTGTGGCTGTAATGTCTTAAAATGTGTCTGGTTTTGTCAGGATAATTATGACTAATGCGAGAATGTTTTTTTTTTTTTTTTTTTTTTTTTTTTTTTTTTTTTTTTTTTTTTTTTTTT